GCAAATGCAAAGGCGATATACTTAAGTACATTTTTCGGCGATACAATTGAGTACTGCCAATAAACGGCATAACGGAAAAGTATTGCCTTCAGAACGGCGATACTTTTGGGTATCGCCAAAACCACGGCATTAAACTAAGAACTCGTCCCCTTGATTTGTTCAACGTTTAGTGCCTAATCGTGACAGTACTCCAAAGTATCGCCAGATTTCGGCGATACTTTTGTGTATCGCCGTTCTGAAGGCAATACTTTTCCGTAAGGCCGTGTTTTGGCGATACTCAATTGTATCGCCAAAAAATGTACTCAAAGTGTCGCCTCTGAATTTTTAGTGTGTTGTTTTCGGGTTGGCAGCCAGCTGGGTTTGGACCAGGTTTCCAAGACCGGGCTCTCCGTTTTCTCCGGGCGCGGAAAAGTTTGCCCACCGGGCGCAGTAGCACATCTGGTCCTCCGCCGAGGAAATGTTCCTCGCGGGGCGGGGTTTCCAGGAAGAAGGGTTCCAGGCCGAACGAGGGTCCGAGTAAGCTCCCCGGCCGGAAACCTTCCCGGGCGGCTTCGGGTCGTGACTCGACTGCACTCTACAAAAAATGTCCTGTCAACGCCGTTAATTTATTACCAATGTTTGCTGTTTTGCAATTCACGGCGTTTGCTGTGAACTAGTTCACGGCGTTCACTGTGATCTCGGTTACAGTGTTCACTGTGATCTGGCCACAGTAAACGCCGTGAATTGGAGCCTGATTTGCAGTACTTCGGTGCTTAGCGGCGTCAAACTCACAGTGTTTACTGGGGACCAGATCACAGTGAACACCGCGAACAAGATCACAGTGAATCCCGTGAGCAGATCACAGTAAACGCTGTGAATTGACCTACAGTGAAAACTGGTAATAAATTAACGGCATTTACAGGACATTTTTGGTAGAGTGTGAGGTGGGTTCGGGTGCACAGTGCACTCGGGCGCGCTCGGGGCACCCGCTTTGGGCGCACTCTACGCGGTCGAGTCCGGCAACCCTGACCAGACCAGGACTCTTTTAAGAGGATGCTTTACCCGCGGCCGGGAGTGGGGATTCGGGCCCCCGGCGGGCGGCAAGGCGCGCGTTGCACCGATGCAAATGTAACGTCGCCGTGGCTTCACTTTTGATCCGATTGTCACGAAACTTGGCAGACGCGTTCGTGATGCCCTGAGGCAGGCCTCGCTCGTTTTTGCCGCGTTCCAAACCGTTCATTTGAACATTTTTTGAACATTTCCGTTCAACAGGTTTCGGCCACAGCAGCTCAGTTTGCGGGACAGTATTCCAAAATCGGAGACCGTGGTGAGATGCGCGCTGAAGTTTTAAGTGGCTTCCCGCAAACGGATCGGCAAAATGTTGAACGACCTCGCTTGAATCTTTAAAATAAAAAACGCCCTGCAGCGGCGTGGACGGCGTGGATCAGCCCGGCCCGGCTGGAGCGGCTCGCCACGGCCTGGTGGGGAGCCCCCTTGCACCCGAACCCCGCAGCGCAAGCCCACCCCCACTCCTCCGCCGCTAGCCCAGCCGAGGAAGCGGGGGGAGGGGGAGGTGACATAGGTGCATCCGCACTGCAGTTTTGTTTCACTCGCACCCGCAGGAGAATAGACAGAGACTGAGCGACAAAACGCGACCCGAGGGGGTAACCACTCGCGTAATACCTTTTACACAAAACCAAAGTATTCGCGTAATACACGTGACGTAATACCATTTTTGGTCAAATGTGCCAAATTTGGGCATTTAGGGCCCGTAATACACGTTTACACCCGTAATACAGCGTAATACCGCGTAATACCGAGTAGTCTGTACACGATTTCGTGAAGTGTTTACCCCCTCGACGCGACCCTCCGAGCCGGGCGAGGAGGCTCCGAAACCGTCTGCCCGATCGCCGGCCGCCGGACCGCAGAGATTTCAAGAAATTATGAGAACAGGGCCAAAATCACCTTTTCACGAAAAATCGTAGTTGCGCGTTTCGAGTCTCGCTGATTATTTCTATACTATCTCTAAAAACCCAGTTCGGGACCTAATCGCCGCTTCCTTCTTTCACTAGAGTCACTAGAGGGCACTAGAGGCTAAATTAGAATGGGTCCAGAACTTATGAAATCAAGTATTCTTTTATTTTCTGCCCTGCCGACCACTATTTGCAAATGGTTGCTCAAAGTTGAAATCACTGCTCCTAATACCACTAGAATGCTTTATCTATTTGACCTAGAGGCAAGCAAGTATCACGAGACGATGCAGAAAACTGTTTAACAACTTTTATTTAGCATCCATTCGATAACCGCCTGTCAGATTGGTCAAACGGTAAAATATGTATGTATGAAAATCACGATTTGGGCTGACTTTGGGCGGCCACTGCCTCAAATCTAGGCCCTCTAGTCACACTCTCTCTACAGGGCAGTGGTCTTAGAGAGGCCTTGTTTGTAAATCCTAGCTCAGGAGAGCGATTTTCTTGCGTAGTTTGGACGCTGTGTTGTCGCGAAGTTGGGCGAAACGGCGACAATGAATAGAAATTGCGATATGGGGTGACTTTAAGCAGCCACTGCGTCTGATCCGAGGCGGTATTTCGTACCCCCTCAGTGGGCAATCGATCTTTGGACCTTCCTTAGCACGCCTTTGTTACGGAGTGCGATTATCCGGCTTAGTTTGGAAGAAGTATTGTCTCAAAGTTGATCAAAACGGTCACAAATACCTTTGAAAAATCGTGTTTGGGCGACTTTAAGCAGCCACTGCGTTTGATCCGAGGTGGTATTCGTACTCCCTCAACGGGCATTTGGTCTTTGGACCTTCTGTTGGCATGCCTTTGTTACGGAATGCGATTGTGTGCCTTAGTTTGGGAGCAGTGTTGGATCAAAATGAGTCAAAACAGTCAAAAATGCCTTTAAGTCGGTTTTGATCAACTTTGAGACAATACTGCTCCCAACTAAGGCACACATCGCATTCCGGCTAGGCGGCGGAGGAAGGGGGTGGGCTTGCGCTGCGGGGTTCGGGAGCAAAGGGTGCCCCCACAGGCCGTGGCGAGCCGCCTCGCAAGCCGGGCCCGGGCTGATCCAGCCGTCCACGCCGCTGTGGCGTTTTTGTATTTCAAGATTCATCGAGGTTCGTTAACATTTTGCCGATCCGTTTGCGGAAGCCATTTAAAAACTGTTGCAGCGGCGCAAATCACCACGGTCTTCCGATTTTTGGAATACTGTCCCGCGAAACTGAGCTGCTGTGGCCGTAACCTGTTGAACGGAAATGTTCAAAAAATGTTCAAATGACGGTTTGGAACGCGAGCAAAACGAGCGAGGCCTGCTGCAGGGCATCACGACCGTCTGCCAAGGTTTTCGTGACAATCGGCCAAAAGTGAGCCACGGCGACGTTCATTTGCATCGGTGCAACTCGCGCCTTGCCGCCCGCCGGGGGCCCGAATCCCACTCCCGGCAGCGGGTTAAGCATCTCTTAGCGTGCATCGCTGCCTGCCGCTGCAGTTCAGTGAGTGTCGCCCACCGTCCGTGCTTGTGCAACGCAACGAGTCCGCCACTCTCCGCGTGCTGATTGCCCTGCTTTTCGCACCGTGCCTCGACGAGGAGTGCTGCTCTAGCCTGACACCATCGACCTACGACACAGGGGCCTGCTGCGACACTGCTGTGAGGTAGCTTACCATGTATAAGCTCAGGTTTCCTTGAGATGCCGCCTGCCGCATGGAACTTTTTGGTTCTGGAGCGCCGTAAAGTGGACAACTTTTTGGCGTAAGGCGCCCTAATCCAAACACACGGACGGTGGAAAGGTTAAAGGTTAATTTTAGTGTCATCAATGTCGCGTAAGCTTCTGACAAAGACTAAAGGTAACGCGTTAACGTAATATTTAAAAAAAAAAAACAATATTTAAGAAGCGATTTTAATTGGTTTTTGCTTAAAGTAGTTAGTCAGCCAGCCCGTTATGGTTTACCCCCGTACACCTATGCATCGATAGAAAGCTGAAATAGTCTTCTGTACTCTAGTGGAGACAAAACCGCGTTACGGTTAAATTTTGAGAAATTTTGTAGAAAAAGAGCCCGTTTGGCTGGCCAGCATAGGCCCGCAGTCCTCCGTGGCTGCAGTAAATTTGAATTTGTGAAATACTCATATGCCTGACGCTTTCAGAAAAACCACCTCTCCTATAATTTAAGTATGAGGATTCCAAATACCACAAGGACATGCCGTTACCGCACTTTCGAAAAGATAATTGAGTTTAGCGACAGTCGAAAAAACGGCCGATTTGGGGCCCTTCCGGGACGGCTGCCGCCTTAGCGTGAGACGGCGGAAGGGGCTGGCTCTCTGCCGAGATTCAAACGGCCGAGAGTCTCCACACTTCCCATCGAGTTTAACAACTAAGACCTGAGAACTTCAGACCATTTCACTTTCTATCGAATCATGTAAAAAGATATTCAAGAGAAACCTAAAACAATCGTGTTGGAAAAAAATTGTTTCTGCTTGCCTTCGGCCGGGGTGCAGTACCAACTTGGCAACACTAATTCTCGCGCGCGACGGAAACGCGATTTATGTCCGATTCTGGGGCACTTGCACTAAATTAACATTTCATCATCGAAAATAATGGTACACTTTACGAAGAATACGATATAACCGTAAATAATAATAAATCGTTGCCTCACACGACGCGGAACTTTAGTGCCTCCGATTTTGGCATGGTCAGCACTGCCGATTGCTAGCAAGTTGCGTACTTACGGTCACTAATTAATAATAACATGTTTTTGAGTTGTTAAAAATTATCAAGCAAAGGCAGCTAAACATACAATATTCCACAACTTTAATTTTTGGTATCCGTAAAGCCTTTAAAATCAAATTGTAAGACACTCTAGTGACTACCCCCGTCTGCTGACTAACTACTTTAAGAAACGGGTTAGATTTGTCGTTCAACTTTGACGCGACAAACTTTTGCCGAGACTCGTTTTAAGGCTCTCCTTTTAACGCGTTAGACTCTACACTCCAAACTTCTAGCAGTGAATTTAGCAGTCTTGTACGAAGTACTAATTTATGAGGTGACACGAGCTTAATTTCTTTAAATATGAATCGGTTTGGACCTTTCTTTTTCAAGGCACCAACACTGCGGCCAAAGCTACGGAAATTTTGTGCACCCTTGTGATAATTCTCCACAGCCCTCCAGTAAATATTTTTCGTGGAGCCCTACAGTATTCTCCGTAGACATGTTCTCCGTAGGCTCATACAGCCTTCCAGAAAACTGTCAGGTCCAACGGAGAAGACGGTATGGTCCCTATAGAGATACTGTAAGGTCCAACGGAGAATCTTGTCCAATAAGATCAACAGAATTTCCCGTAGGGAGAGTGGGGTAATCCAGACCCGGTGTAATTCCGGACACTTCGATTTTCACTGGGTTTGAGTGAGATAACTCAAGCCGCCTAACAGAGGAAAAGATGAGTTTAACAGAGAATTCCAATCGCCAAGTAGAGGTCAAACCGTTTGCCTGTGGTCGCTTCACGAAATTTGAGTACCATCAAAATAGGCAAAAGCTGCATCTTTCCTCGTATTTCCATGTACTTATCGTACCTTACCGTCAAGTTCAGTCCCATGACTAAAACTTTTATCATATTATATGGTCATTGCTTTACTTTTGCGTTTCGGAGTGCTCGTATGGCTCGCCGTTTCCTTACTTGAAACATCAAAGGTTTTTCACTACCTGTGGGGGTAATCCGGACAATAAGGTCATTTTCTTCAATTTCCCGCATAATGTTAAGGTAGTGGGTTCAAAATTGTGGACATGCATCCCACCGGTTAGAAGGATAAAGAAAGAATAAAATAGCATTGCAGCTATAGTTTAAGAGCTTTACTCGGACAGTGTTGTCATTTAGGGGTTTTGATAGAAATTCTTTTCCTTAATAATATGCTTTGAGTATGATCAAACATTTCATTTCGCGCAAATTTCCTTGTACGCCTTCTAAGAGCATGGCTCACATCAAAAGAAGCGAAAGTAAGCTCGGTAGTTCAAACTTTAGGTCGTCCGGATTGCCCCATAGTTCGTCCGGAATGCCCCAGCCTGGGGTAATTCCTACACGTGCAGGTTTTTGTTAGGCGCCTTTATATCCTAACCGTTCTGAGATTTGGCTTTCATGTATACATTTTGAAGGTCCCTACTTTAAGCTCCTGCATACCATTTGACCCCGAGCGTATTCAAGCTCAAGACCACGGAAAAAAAGCGTCCGGATTACCCCACTTTCCCGTACCTTTTGCCACAGTGAGAGACGTGTTTATAAGGAAAAATATCTCCACAATCTGTTTGCACGACATTGTTTGCTTTGTAAAGGAATGGTGTTAGTTGCTCCGTTTTTGTTATGAAATAGACACTTCCACCAGAGCGCCGAGTTAAGCAGAAGAATGACAAAGGCCGTAAACAGTCCCTTGAAGTCGCTTACTTGTTAATGTTATGTCTAGTGTCTTTTCTCGTTTTCTCGCCGTTCTGGCGGAAGTGTCTGTTGACGTCACTGTGGCACTGTTGGGCCAACCGGCCGGCTGGATCGGGGCCCTTTCCCACGCTACGCTTCCCGGGGCCCGGACTGCCGAGGGGATATTTCCGGATTTCCCGCCGAACTCCTTCGCCGGGAGGGGCGCTGCGGTGGCGATGGCGACCCGAGCGGCGAGCGCGACTAGGCTTGGCTTCGCTTGGCTTCGCTTGGCTTGCACTCTCCCTCAAGTTCTGGCGGCCGTGGCCGCGACACTGCTCACGGCTACCCGCTGTAACCGGTACCGAATCGTTTCAGGGGCATCATTGCTGGGCCTCCCGACAAAGCCGACACCCGACGGCGCTGTTCATCGCCAGCAGCCCAGCCCAGCAGCATCCGAGCGCCATCTCTCTGCGCAGCTTTCTGCACCACCTCGAGCAGCATGACTGCCTCCTCGACGTGCGGCGGCACTGACTGCGTGCCCGAGGACGGCATGACCGGCGCACAGCTGTTCAACAACGGCGACGGCCTCACGTACAAGTAAGTCCCCGCTCTGCTGTATTGGCGCTTGGGAGAGCCCAATAAATGTTTCTGAACTTCTATTGCCGCGTACACGGTATCGTATGTATCAGCAAGCATGCTCCGGCGTGGAGTGTACAGTAGTACATGCCATGTTTGACTCCAGGTGGACTGTACATGCCAGGTTGGCTCCAAGTGGAGCGTACTTGCTGGCGTGCTTCAACCTGAAGCATGTTTAGTACACATTTGAGTTTGTAGAGTGCTGTGTGTACTTTGTATACTTCTGTAGGAATGTACTTGACAAGTACACATTAATAGTAGTGAACGTGAGTAAGTACACATCTATAGGAGTGTATTCACGAAAGCACACTCTCATCTTATTGATTGCATCAGCAGAGTGTATTAGACCACGTGCCTCCTATAGATGTGTGTACTTGGCAAGTATACACAGATGAGTGCCTGCTCGCCTCACTCTTGGCGCCCTTTTCTTGCGGTGGGCTGCCCGACGGCCTCCAGAAGCGCCAGCCCGGTCGAATTTTAAAGTTATACGAGTTGTTTTGTATAATTAACATCAAGGTTTGAAGTAATTTTGGGAGTAAGAAAACTTGGATTGCGTGGGAAAGCGCGGTAGCCGCACTATATTCTAATGTTTCTGTAGGTGTCTTTGATGATTGCCAAGTGTCTGCAGACTTGTTTATGCATGGTGAATAAACTGAACCGAACTGGCTCGCGGTTTCACCTTGGGTCTGGTGCCGTCCGGGAGGAGTCTCCTAACGCTCCAACTTTGCCTGTTGCAGTGACTTCATCATTCTGCCGGGATTCATCGACTTCCCCGCCGACCAGGTGGTGAGTAGCGCTTCCCTTTCCTCTTCCCCCTCCGATATCGAGATGCGCGCGACGGTTGGGTTGAGTCCTAGATGTGTTGGAGTGTGTCCGCCGTATAGTCTCTCGTACACGGCTAAGGGGAGTTGTCGGCCCCTCGACTCCAGCCAAACCCGTCTAGCTTGAACGAGTTAACTGGCAAAACTAAAGCGTAGTATTACCCTCTGTTTAAAAGGGTAACCAGTTTGCGCTTGAAATCAAGCGTAACAGGCTCATCGGCCAAGATTCCCTAAATGCATGGGGAAATTTCCCGGGTATGCTTCATTGCAAGTGTAACGTGTTCAAGCGTAACTTTATGCTTGACTCAAGCCTAGAGTTACGCTTTAGTTTTACCAGTGTTAGAAGCCATGAGCTAAAAACGCCCCGCGAGTTCGTTTGAAAATGGTGATATAAGGGCACCTCCAGGTACGAGAGAGACAGAGCGACGAAACCGACCCTCGGAACTAGTTTGCAGTAGACAATAGATACCAGAGACGTGCGGCGCACCGTTCACAATAAATTACGTACTTAGAATCCTTTTTTTGTGCATAGCTGTGGCACAGAATCGAGCAGGCGCGTGAAACGCACGAATTCGCGCATCAACGTACGTACACGCTTAGTTGCGCACAAATACGTGCATTTTAAAACGCACGCGCAATTTTATGCAAAGCTCGTTGTTCCAAGTTGACAGCTGTGTTACGGACACTGTAAAGTGAAACTAGCATGTCTTAGAACTTTTCCTCAGTGGGAGTTCAGTTTGTGGTCAACATGTAATCACTAGAAGCTGAACTTATGCCCAGAGTTGGGGGCCCCAACTCTTATCGGTTTCCGAGTTATGGAGGCTTACGTAAACTTTTAGTTGTTTCTTCCAAATTCTCCTCACGACAAAGGATAAGCTACCCAGCATTCAGATTCTGGAAATTATATCTATTTTTGAAACGAAAAATGATACCTTTGGCAAATTTAAAAAGTAAGGGCTATTCTAGCAGGACCGTTTTTATTTGTCTTCAAACTTGAGAGATTTTGCCGTCTCTTGGTTTTCAGGAAAACATAGGGGGATATTTTTAAAAAGGCAACGCTACCTTTTTCCTTTGCAAAAATAGATATATGATTACCAGAACTTTTATAGCTGGTCAGTTTATCATTTGACGTGAGGAGAATTTTAGAAAAACGACTAAAAGTTAACATAAACATCCATAACTCAGGAACTTAAATGAGGTGAGGTTCTACTCTTAGTGTATGAGCGAGTTCAATGGAAAAGGACTTTTACCCGTCAATTCAGACATCGGAAGTATTTTTAAAAAAAGTTAAATCGTCACTCTTTTCACAAAGCTTTAATTTACGGTTGCGCGCGGGGGCGCCGCTGGGCACTCTCTTCGAGGGGAAACGGGAGACGTTGCACTGTATAAATAAAATCTGGGTAATCTCCCAATGAGTTTGTTACAGTGTTCTGGGTTTGTCAGTCTTTTTTCGTCGAAGGCCGATTTTGTACTAAATCAATGCTGAAACTGTGTGTTGTGTTGCAGGATCTTACTTCGGCTCTCACCAAGAGGATAACATTGAAGGCCCCTCTAGTCTCCTCGCCTATGGACACGGTTACTGAATCTGAGATGGCAATTGCAATGGCTGTAAGTCACTAGCACTGTTATATGACAGGTTTTTGCAGATTACTTAAAATAATTATTATTTACACTTTTTTTGTGTGTGTGTTTTTAGCTGTGTGGCGGTATCGGGTTCATTCATCACAACTGCACACCCGAGTATCAAGCGAACGAAGTAAATAAAGTTAAAAAGTACAAGCACGGTTTCATCCGAGACCCAGTGGTGCTGAAACCCAACAATCTTGTAAGTAATTTCTTAGAACTATCTTTATTATTTTAATTCTGCATAATTACGTACATATCTGCTATTCCGCCCCAGGCCCCCTTATTCATCACTTCCACTGTTTCAAGTGAAATAAATTCTTCCCTTTCGTTTCTCGAGACGCGGGTTTTGATCCCTGGGTTGAGAACAATCTTTACAGTAGTGCTTGTTCTTGTCAAATCCATTTGTTGTACTAATTATGGAAAAACACTTGTTTGCTTTACCAGGTGAGTGATGTGTTGGAGACAAAGAAGGAACATGGTTTCTGTGGAATCCCAGTGACGAACACAGGGAAATTGGGTGGCAAACTTTTGGGTATGGTCACTTCGCGTGACATTGACTTTCTGGAAGAAAAGCCCAGCCAAAACACCAAGCTTGAAGACGTGAGTATATTTGATGCCCAAATGCTTACTCTATAAATCCAAAAGCGTACATAGTATGCTCTACCTGGAGCATGCCTGCAAGCACGCTCTAGCTAGCGCATGCCTGCCAAGCATGCACTAACTAGTGCATACATGCCATGTACACGCTAACTGACGCAAACTCTAGTGCTCAAGGGATAGTGAGTTGCCTCCATCAGGAAGCGTGTAAATGGCATGTATGCACTAGTAAGTGCATGCTTGGCAGGCATGCGCTAGCTAGAGCGTGCTTTTAGGAATGCTCCAGGTAGAGCGTACAATGTATGCTTTTTGATTTGTAGAGTATGGCTCGTCTTTAGCTCGCACCCGCCTTTTTTTTTCACTGTACATTCTCTGCAAAAATAACTCTGGCAGCAGTTCTGTTTCTTTGTCTAATGGTGCTCACTACAAGATGAACTTAAATCTACAGTTAGGACCTCCAACTCCAAAAAGTTTCAGAGTCGTTGAGGTTTACGTAACAAATGTAGTTGTTTCTCTCAAACTCTCCACGCATATATCAAATAGTTTTTTTCGACCTGCAGCTCCTGACAAATTGATCCTATATAATATATACAAAGGGTAGCAAAGCCTTATTACAATATCTCTGCAAGTTTTTTAACTGGAGAGCAAAGTCCTGAAAAACATAGCTAGAATTATGATTTTGGTTGAATTTAAAATTGTTGCATGTTCGATCACTTCTGCTAAAAAAACTAAGAGACATTTTGTAAGAAGTTTATGATCTCGTTCAATTTTTCTTTAAGATAGATTTGACAGGAGCTCAAGACTGGAAACTTACGTGAGGAGAATTTAGGAGAAATACTAAATTTGTTACGTAAACCTCAATAACTCTGAAACTCCTGGGGGGTGTGGAGTCCTAACTGTGAGTTTAAGTTCATCTTACAGTGAGCAACTGAAGACCGAAAAACAAAACTGCTGGTACAAATATTCTAGAAAGTATGATTTTCTTTTTGCAGTTAAATGCTTAGCACCCTTTCATGAAGGAGTCTTATGTCAAGCATGTTGTGATAATACTTGTCGCTTTTTGCAAATGCATGATAGTCTCTTCAACTCCAATCTAATCTTCAAGAACAATTGCAGGTCATGACCAAAAGGGAAAATCTTGTCGTTGCATCTGCTGAAGTTACACTAACAGAGGCCAATGATGTCCTCGAGAAGTCAAAGAAGGGCAAATTACCAATAGTCAACGATGCTGATGAATTGGTGGCATTAATTGCTCGGACCGATCTGAAGAAAGCCCGCTCTTATCCCGACGCCAGCAAAGATGACAATAAACAGCTCTTGGTTGGTGCAGCTATTGGAACCAGGGAAAATGACAAGGAAAGATTACGCCTTCTTGCTGCTGCCGGAGTGGACGTTGTCGTTCTTGTAAGTTCTCATTTTTAGTAAAACAAAAAAACCGTCCTGGTTGAATGTTGGTGTTGTACATTTTAATTACTCCAATCACTTATTGTTGACTTTCTGCAGGATTCTTCTCAGGGGAACTCCATATTTCAAATGGATATGATAAGGTTTATTAAACATACCTATCCTGAAATCCAAGTGGTTGGAGGAAATGGTAGGGACTATTCTCAACTGAATCACTTGCATATATATTACTGTGAACTTGTCGTAAAACGCATTTGGTTTTCCTTTTAACAGTGGTGACTGCTGCCCAAGCCAAGAACCTCATTGATGCTGGTGTTGATGGTATTCGTGTAGGTATGGGTTCGGGTTCTATCTGCATTACACAAGAAGTTATGGCTGTTGGAAGGGCTCAAGGGACAGCTGTCTACAAGGTAGCAGAGTACGCAAGAAGATTTGGTGTACCTGTAATAGCCGATGGTGGCATCCAGTATGTGGGACATGTCATCAAGGCCCTTTCTTTAGGTGCTTCCACAGGTAACATTTTCAGCCTCACTTTGAGTCTCGCTTTTCCAGTCCTCGCCTCTGTTAATTCACAAGTACATACTTTCGGCTTCCAGTTATGATGGGCTCCTTATTAGCTGGTACATCTGAGGCTCCGGGAGAATACTTTTTCTCTGATGGTGTCAGACTCAAAAAATACCGTGGTATGGGCAGTTTGGAGGCCATGAACCGCAAGGATGCCAAGGGAGCAGCCATGGACCGTTACTTCCACAAGTGAGTTCGTATGGAATTGTGAGGAGTTTTTGTTTCATACTGTAAAAATATATTAATTGCTGTGTTTATGTTTGGTTAATTTTTTCAGTGAATTGGACAAATTGAAAGTAGCACAAGGTGTCAGTGGTGCTATTGTTGACAAAGGATCAGTGCGGCGGTTCCTTCCGTACCTCACATGCGGCATCAGACATGGATGCCAGGACATTGGATCACGCAGCCTTTCAGCCCTAAGGTGAGGGATTGTGGTTTGCACTGCAAATCCAAGTGTGAGACAGTCGCACTCCTTTTAGTGCAAAACTTCGTGTCACGCGCTTACTAGTGTGAGCTACGTTTGTCCCACGCTTGCAAGTGTGTCTCACACCTACAAGTGTGAGCCACGTTTGTCTCGCGCTTGCAAGTGTGTCTCATGCTCACATCAAACACTGTTTGTCGCACACTTGATGCGTATGGTTCAATGCCACAGGACCCACGCTTGCAAGTAGTGAGAGAAGCCGTGTCTCAAACTTGTAGGCTTGAGACACAGTGGTTCGCACCACAGATACTTGGATTTGCAGCGTAGAGCTTGGGTGTGCTTGAAAATGAGGGGATTAAGCATTTTCTGACATCTTTCTATTCCACCTTTGCAGGTCCATGATGTACTCTGGTGAAGTTCGGTTGGAGCGACGTTCAAACTCTGCCCAGCAGGAAGGCAACGTTCACAGCCTCTTCTCATATGAAAAGCGGCTATTCTGACACCCAGAGCACTCAAATAATTTGTGAAATGATTGTACGCGATTCGGCTAGGTTTCTAGTCACGTGATCTTTTATGAACTCTGGCACTAACCTTATTCGAGACAAGTGAAAAATCATGTGATTCCCATGGTTTGAAGTATGCTTCATAGATACTTAAAGTTTCGGGATTTTAGTTGTATTATCTACAATTATTACCTTTGGTGCTTTTATAAAAGGGACTGTTGTCAACCCTTTTAGTTAAATTATTTATACTCAACTGGTGATTTCAATGTGCTCTTCATATTGCAGTACGGCGATAATCAATAAAATATTATTCAAAGGAAACGGTTTTTAAATTTCTTCTGATGTGTACTGATCAACTCACATTACACGATTGTTCATGGATTGTTTTACTTTAAAAAGAAAGAATGACGCGGAAGCGTTGTCAAAGTTCGAGCATAACATTATTGCAGAGATCTTCGACTAAACACTTGAGGCACAATAACTTTATCCCATTTCTCATTAGCAAACAAAATGTTCTCCACTCAGCACCATTACATTTAACTGTGAATTTGGCACGCCCAATAGTATTGACTAAAATAAGCTTTAAGCATCACCTCTGAAAATTTGCGAAGGATTTTCGGAAATTTACGTTGTGTGTTCCTGAATCTACTAATCTCCGTAAAAAACCAAAGGATCTTTCAGCAGTGCCAAACGAAGACCAATCGCATTGTTGTTGCATTCTTTTTGACTAGAAGGGAGTATACACCACGCGAGGTTTAAATATTGTTTTAGGCGGGTTGTTTTGCGGACGGAAGAAGTAAGGCACGTCATAACTGATTATGGACCTTTATGATACTCTCATTTAAGATTAAAAAGACCAACATTTGGAGACACGTTGGCTGCAGCTCTTTCGAATGTCTCGAAATCCTCGAAACCAGTGCAAAGATACACGATTTGCAGGGTACAGGCCGCAATTTTTGAACGATTTGGCTGAGATTTGAAACGGACACACAGAAGCCCCGCCATTCTCGCGTGAAATAGGGAAATTGAAAACAAACACATTTTACTATACTTTTAAGGCTAAAACGTTGTTCACAAAAAAAAAAAACCTTTAACGCCCTATGAAGCTGTCTCAGAAAATCAAACTAAGCGAATTTAGCTTGCGTTTCAGATAAGGCTCTTTATACGAAAACGACTGTCCCTTGTTCACGCTAGAATGATATTGAGGGGTCCTATTCTAAATATCTATCTGGTCGTTTGTCGTTTTCGTACAAAGAACCTTATCTGAAACGCAAGCAATTTTCGCTTAGTTGGATTTTTTGAGACATCTACAAATGAAAATAATTCGTGATTAAAGTCACACAAACTTGAAGATGAAAGATCAAAGAAACCACTCGTGCTTTTCAAAATATGCTCCGTTGACTCTCTCCCGTCCCAAATGATGAAACTTTGTGAAATTCACTGGACTTTTAGATAAAGATTCTTTTAACGGAAACGACCAGATACTAAGATCTTTTGAGACCACTCGATACTAGTCGGCACGGAGTCATCCCCACCACCTCGGCTCGGGCGGCGCGGCCAGGCCCAGCCCGGCCGAGGGTCTGGCTGGCCGGCGAGGGCACTGCAAAACCGGTGATAAGTTGACTTGCCACAAATTTGTCAGGCCGTTTTGAATGCCGAAATTGGGCAAGCTTTGCCCAGAAATACTCCCAAGATACTTGCCAAAATTTGGCATTCAAAACGGCTTGCCAAATTTGTGGCAAGCAAACTTACCACTAGCTTTGCAGTGGGATTACCGGCGGCTTAATCCCCTCGCTTGTCGTGTATTCCGGTAGAAATATTAAAACTTTTCCTGTTTATTTTTGTAACGATCTTTTAAAATAAATGCATTGACGAGTTAAAAAGACACATGGTCTAAAAAAAACCGCACCCCAAAATTCGAATTTTTACCACAACGGTCGGCATGTCCCGCCGGTCAGCTAACGAGTCCACTGGTCCGGGCCGTATGCATCACGAATTGACATATTTGCGTTGGATTTTGTTTTTGACTTTTTCGTTTGTTCTCCAACGCGCCTCCCGGTTGCCCTGCCAGCTAACGGGAGTCGACTGTACACTGTGGCAAAAAAGAAACCGTACTGATAAGTCGGTTAATTTTTTTTTGCCATGATTGTCTGAACCCAAAACCCTACATTTTCTGTAGCCTCTTTAATATTCTCCGAAGAACTTACAGTCTTTTCCGCATGCCCCTTGCCGTTGCACGGGGAGGATTGTAACAGGTGGTGGCAACGTCCTGGAGAACGCGTGAAACCATCCTCCTCGCAACTCCAAAGGTTTCGCACTTCTTCCACATTGTGCAAACTAGGCCATTGTTTGCACTGCGGCAAAGAGCTACGGAAAATTCTGTAAACAGCTTGTGGTAATTAGGGACGGGCGATTTTGCGATTAATCGCAGGTGCGATGCGATTTTTTCAAAAAATCGCGGTGCGATTTCGGTTTTTGAACCTCGGCGATTAATCGCAAAATCGCAAAAAATCGCTAAATCGCAAAAATCGCACCGTGCATGGATTTCGCCATAGACAATCAACTATATCCATAGACCAACTGCTTTATGCCCGGCTGGGATCCATGTGTTACGCCGCTCCCTGATTGGTCCGTACCTTTCACTTTAACATTTCAAGGTTAAAAACTCGACAAATGTCAATTTTAGTGGGCTGATTGCATTCAGCCTGTTCAAATCTATGTTTCTGGCTCTTGGTTTTTGAGCAAAGCTTGTTGGTATAAATACCAAGTGAAACACAAACAATCAGTTGTCGGCACGAGCGGCACGAGCGGTGTTCCTCCGTAAAACTTCCTCTGAGGCTCTAAAATTAAAGTTCATTTGAAAAATCGAGCCGTTTGATGATATTCCTCATTTATGTGAGCTTCTTTTTCACCCACTGAAAGCAGCTGAACATCAACTTAAAAGGTATAAACTGTTCCACAAGTGTGGCATCGACTGCACCAAGCTGCCTCCGCCAGCGAACACTCTACAAAAAATGTCCTGTCAACGCCGTTAATTTATTACCAATGTTTGCAGTTATTCAATTCACGGTGTTTGCTGTGAACTAGTTCACGGCGTTCACTGTTATCTCGGTTACAGTGTTCACTGTGATCTGGCCACAGTAAACCCGTGAATTGGAGCCTGATTTGCAGTACTTCGGTGCTCAGCGGCGTCAAACTCACAGTGTTTACTGGGGACCAGATCACAGTGAACACCGCGAACAAGATCACAGTGAATCCCGTGAGCACAGTAAACGCTGTAAATTGGCCTACAGTGAAAACTGGTAATAAATTAACGGCATTTACAGGACATTTTTGGTAGAGTGTAGTGGTAATTCTCCGTAGCCCCCTTGTCAATATTTTCCGTAGGCTCGTACAGTATTTTCCGTAGGACCGCACAATTTTCTCCGTACGACCTTACAGCGTTCTCCGTAGGACTATACAGTCTTCCAGGTCCTACGGAGAATACTGTACGGCCCTACGGAGAATAGTGTAAGAGCCTACGGAGAGTATTGATAAGAGGGCTATGGAGAATTCTGGCAAAAAAATTAACAGAATTTTCCGTACCTTTTTGCGACAGTGTGTAAAACCCTTGCACAGAGCGAAAGAGCATGAATTTTCAGTTCCCTCTGACTCATGGGCCTTCCAGAATCTCCTAATTTAAACCCAAACCAAACTAACAAGAGTGGAGATGTCACATAAATGGTGCAACCAGGGTTACAGGTGCGTCGAAACGTCACAAAAGTTTGGGGGGGGGGTCAATGTATTGCAGGTTGTCTTCCTCGCAGGGGATTGACCCGGGGCGTGGAAAAGTTTGCCCTCCTGGCGCTGTAGCTTCTTACTTGCCACATCTGGTCCTCCGCCGAGGAAATGTTCCTCGCGGGGCGGGGTTTCCAGGAAGAAGGGTTCCAGGCCGAACGAGGGTCCGAGTAAGCTCCCCGGCCGGAAATTTTCCCGGGCGGCTTCGGGTCGTGACTCGACTGGGGTGCACAGGATCGGGTGGTTCGGTGCACAGTGCACTCGGGCGCGCTCGGGGCACCCGCTTTGGGCGCACTCTACGCGGTCGAGTCCGGCAACCCTGACCAGACCACGGCTCTTTTAAGCGGGCATCGCTGCCGCTGCAGTTCAGTTGAGTGTCGTCCACGGTCCGTGCTTGTGCAGTGTAGTGAGTCCGCCACTCTCCGCGTGCTGAGTGCCCTGCTTCCGCACCGCGCCTCGACGAGGAGTGCTGCTCTAGCCTGACACTCGAGCCGAGGAGACAGGGGCCTGCTGCGACTACTGGCTGTGAGGTAAGCTGACCGTGTATGAAGCCCATGTTTCCTTGAGATGCACGCGTGCAGCATGGAACTTTTGGTTCTGGAACGCCGTAAAGTGGACAACTTTTTGGCGTAGCGACCCTAATCTAAACACACGTTACGGTGGAAATGTTAAAGGTTAATTTTAGTTCATCAATGTCGCGTAAAGCTTCTGACAAAGTCGTAAAGGTAACTCGTTAACGTAATTTTTTTTTTTAAAACCCAATATATAAGAAGCAATTTCAATTGGTTTGCTGAAGAAACGGGTTAGATTTGTCGTTCAACTTTGACGCGACAAACTTTTGCCGAGACTCGTTTTAAGGCTCTCCCTTTAACGCGTTAGACTCTACACTCCAAACTTCTAGCAGTGAATTTGGCAGTCTTGTACGAAGTACTTATTTATGAGGTGACACGAGCTTAATTTCTTTATATATGAATCGGTTTGGACCTTTCTTTTTCAAGGCACCAACACTGCGGCCAAAAGCTACGGAAAATTTTGTGCACACCTTGTGATAATTCTCCACAGCCCTCCAGTAAATATTTTTCGTGGAGCCCCACAGTATTCTCCGTAGGACCGTGACATGTTCTCCGTAGGCTCATACAGCCTTCCAGAAAACTGTCAGGTCCAACGGAGAAGACGGTATGGTCCTATAGAGAATACTGTAAGGTCCAACGGAGAATCTTGGCCAAAAGATCAACAGAATTTCCCGTACCTTTTTGCCACAGTGAGAGAACGTTTTATAAGGAAAAATATCTCCACAATCTGTTTGCACGACATTGTTTGCTTTGTAAAGGAATGGTGTTAGTTGCTCCGTTTTTGTTATGAAATAGACACTTCCACCAGAGCGCCGAGTTAAGCAGAAGAATGACACAGGCCGTAAACAGTCCCTTGAAGTCGCTTACTTGTTAATGTTATGTCTAGTGTCTTTTCTCGTTTTCTCGCCGTTCTGGCGGAAGTGTCTGTTGACGTCACTGTGGCACTGTTGGGCCAACCGGCCGGCTGGATCGGGGCCCTTTCCCACGCTACGCTTCCCGGGGCCCGGACTGCCGAGGGGATATTTCCGGATTTCCCGCCGAACTCCTTCGCCGGGAGGGGCGCTGCGGTGGCGATGGCGACCCGAGCGGCGAGCGCGACTAGGCTTGGCTTCGCTTGGCTTGCACTCTCCCTCAAGTTCTGGCGACCGTGGCCGCGACACTGCTCACGGCTACCCGCTGTAACCGGTACCGAATCGTTTCAGGGGCATCATTGCTGGGCCTCCCGACAAAGCCGACACCCGACGGCGCTGTTCATCGCCAGCAGCCCA